AAAAGACAAGGCAGAAAGTGAGCATGAGTGTGTGCTGTGCGCGTGGGGAGGGGGCTGCGGGGAGCTGCATCCAGCAGGCAGCCTGGTGTCACCTTAGAGACACTTGAAACTGGCACTTAACTCTTTGGAGTCTGGGAAGGCAGAGGAGGGTGACAACTCAGCTGCCCCTCTCTGCCTGCAGTCCAGCTGGCACCTGCCTGCCTGCAAGGGCTGCTCAGGGAGCTGGGTTTCGGCCACTTGTCTTAACCAGACCTGCTGTCAGGTAAAGTTAGGTACCCTGGAAAACTGCATGGCAGCAGCAGCCCCAGCAGAGCAAAGTACCTGCTGTTGTGCCCTGTCATCCAACATGGATGACATCTGTCCAGGGACAGGGTCCCCAGCTGTGGACAGTGGTACCCATCTGAGCAGAGGTACTGCTGTAGTATGGCCTCTGTCCTTCCAGCTGGCTCACTCAGCTCGTTGCCACTTAGGAGGCTGCATTATCCCTGATTTTTCCTCATTCAAGTAAATTTTTCTCCAATCTTGGCATCCAGAGGTAGAAATGACCTTTTGTTCTCTGCTCACATCCATCAGAAAAGTTTCAGCCTTTATTTGTCCCAGGCAGTGGCTGGACTTTGTGACCCAAGTCCCAGCCCACCTTGGTGCTACCTGTCAGCTGGGGTAAGAGATCCCTACAAAGCTCCCATATGTGCCTGACTTGTCTGTCCCAGATTCACATGCTGTGCCTTTACCTGCTAGGCCCTGGAAAATTTAAACTTTGTGTCTATAAAAGCCATCCCCTGTGTCATGGCAAGGTTCTACAATCATGTATTGCATGAAGAGCACATTGCAGTCGCTTGTAATCCCAGTGTTTTCCCATGAAAGTCTGGTATGACGGGAGTAGGAACCCATTCTCAGCTCTGACTGTTGTATGACCTTGGGAGTCATCAGGAGCATCTCATCCCTTGTGGCAGCCCTCTCCATCACCTCCATATGGCCCTGTGGCACCTCTGCTGCAGGGTGCTGTGGAACAGCACACTCCCATGCCACTTTTGACCCCAACCTGGGAAACAGCAGGGGCTGAGGAAGTGCTGTGGCTTTTCCTGGTAACCACAGCCCACTGGCACCTCCAGTTCAAGTTACCAAACCTTTGTCTGGCCCTAAAAGTCACAATGACATCTCTCTCTGGCTGTGCCTCCTGGGGGATTTGTTTCTCTCAGGGGCACAGCAGCCCCCAAGCCCACTCCTCCATGGAATCGTGACTGGCAAGGGAGCCCCACACCCTCCTCGCTGTGTGACTCAGCCCCTCCAGCCCCCACAGGGGTTTTGTTCTCCTTGAAAGCTGGAGTGCTGCTGGGTGAGCCCTCCCCCAGCAGCGCTGTGCACAAGCACAGCTGGTCCTGGGGAAGCAGATTTACCTTCACTTGTGGGGACAGAGACCTGCTGGGGAGCTTGCCAGTATTCCCTGCATGGGTGCATGGCCCCACTCCATCTCCTCTTGCTGCCCACAGGACTGGGAGCAGGCTGTGCAAAGGAAGAAGCAGTGGTGGGGGCCCAGTGGCACCTGTTCTTCTAACTACCACAGTGAGATGCTTCTCTTTCTGGCCTGGGCTCTTCCTGGCCTAGGGAGCCTCTGTTGCCATGGACTATGAAAGCCACCTTCACCTGTGCCAGCTGGGCTGTTAGGGCAGGACAAAAATGGGCTGCCCAGAGGAGCTACTGGGGATGCAGAATGCTGGTCCCCTCTTGCTCCCAGGGAACTTTGAGAAATATGTGTCTTATGGTTAAAGAAGTTTGTGGCCATCAGGCTGAGGAAGTGGATGGCTGGTCAGGGATTGATACAAATAGGAAGCTGGGTGAGAGCAGGGTCCAGACTTCCAGGTAGGAAGTAAGGGAGAGCATTTCTCACTGTTGGGTGTGTCAATGCCATAGGAGAGGAGCTTCAAGGTGGGAAGCAGACACAGGAGACCCCTGAGCCAGGCACAGCAGAGCCCTGAACTAACAGTGCTTTTGGTCAAGTCAGAGTAAAGGGCTGGACAGTAGGTGCCTCCTGCATTCCCAAGGGACCTGATCTTGCTCCACAGAAACCCTCTCTGTGGGGAGGAGCTGCCAGCAGAGGATTTCTACCTTTCTTCCCACATGCCAGATTGTATAGCTGACACACAGGCTGGGTAGGCCAGATTTTGTTTGGAAGAGGAGACATCACAGGATATGCCTGCGTGAGGGGATGTAATGGCTTGCACAGGCCTCTGCATCTCTCTCTTCCCACCTGACTCTGCTGGATATTTTGTGTTTCTGTCATGAATGGGGTCACCCTCCACTTAGAGCTCCCTGAGGACTTGGAAAGAGCAGGCAGATGCTGCCTGAGGATGATGGAGCTGGATAGTAGGATTGGGTCAGTCCTGTCCTCCTGGCACCCTTCAGCTGATCCAGGTCACCTGCTTACCTGGTGCTTACCTGTGTACCCGGGGGACAGGAAGGAGCGTGCCTCTTCTGTGCCCTGGGTAGGGATTTGCTTCTGTGTGGGCACGTGGGACAGTGCAAAGGCATAATGGTATTTACCATACAGACCCCAGCCTTGTTTTTGCAGGCATAGGCAGGACATGAGCTTTCTAGGAAGCAGCGTTTCTAGTGAGTAAAACTCTGAGAAGGTACAGTCATCTTCCCTGAGCACAGGAACAACCTGCTCACCTCTAAGCCCCATTTCAGCCACCAGATTAGAAAATCAACACAGATTTGTTGAGGCAGGCCAAGTCAGTGTCCATCCAGGTGCTATCACTGTTAACAAGCCCCCCAGCACCTGGGGGGTGTGAGGGGGTGCAACTGTCCCATTTTCCCCAGAAGGTGTCCAAAAGCCCAGGCTTCTTGCCTGGTATCAGGACCAAAGCCTGTTTATCCCATGATGGACGTGTGAGACAGCTGCTAGCACACCCCCAAAAGGGAACAGCAAGAGAGATCATGCCAGTCTTGGAGAGCATGGATACTCTCCTGAGTGCCCTAACACCGTGTGTCCTTCTGTAACAAATAAAACACACCCACCATGCTGCTGCCACACACTGCTTGCCAGTGACCCTCTTGGCAGCGGCAAGCCACAAAACCTAAGTATTTTCTCTTTTTCTGTTGTTTTTAATTGGCCACGTAACAGAACAATTGGAAATAATTTGTCTCTGAAAAACAAAGTCCATGTGCTGTTAGCATTTTTTTGTTCAGGGCTTGTATGAATTGACAGTGCAGAGGCTTCTGAGAAATATGACCCTGATTGGGCAGAAACCCAGCTTGCTGTGGCAGAGCTCAACTGGGGCACTTGGAGCAGGCCAAGCACAACTGAGTGAGGCTGAAGGTGACTTGTAAAGAAGGTGACTCTTGCTTTGCTAATTCTCTCAATCTGCTCCAATTAGTTGCTGTAGCCAAATTGGTAGGTGTGATTGGCTGTTGCATTTTGGGAGGCATAGCAGGGATCAAAAGATCCTAATGTGCCTGCTTTAAGCTGCTCAGAGATATCTGGTAGACTGCAAAATTAGGAGGATTTGTCAAGATGAAGGGAAATTTTCTCCTGATGGAAGGATTCTGATTGGTCTGGCTGCATTAAAGGAGCCAGAGGACTCATCCTTCTAAAAGCTTCCCTCTTGCACCTGTTTTAGAGTGTGCATGACGGGTGGAGACCAAAATCTCCCTGGAAGGCAATTCCCAAAGAGCTGTGTGAAGTTTCACGGGGCTGGGCAAAGCAGGGCTGAGGCTGTCCTTTGGATGAAATCTGATGAGTGCAGGTAGCAGTCCCACCCCATAGTGGGGGAAGGTGCATCATACAGATGCAAGGTTAGCAGGCTGCTTTTGGATGGGGTGCTGCAGGGAAAACATCAGATTCTCAACTGACAACTAGTTCTGGCCCAGGAAGAAGCTGCAGGGCAAGGTCAGGCATTTCCCTGCCTTGGTGGGTGGACAGGGGAAGGGAGCTCTGTATGGGTCTGCAAAACGATGTCAGATTAACCTGCTGTGTGCACATCAAACTCCCTCTTGGCAGTACAGACCTGGCTCAGAAGAGTGAGTTCCTGTCTCTCCCAGATCCTGTCCAATGACTAGCTCAGTCAAAACAGCAAGGCAACAGCTTTAGTCCTCTCCACAAAAAAAAATATGATCTGCAGAAAGAGACCTTTGTAAGCCCCAAGCCTCACATTCTGCTGTGGCACAGTCCTGCTGTACCAGCCCAGCCAGAGGTGGGAGATAAAGACACCTTGTAGCATCTCTGAAAGGAGCTCCTGCTTGGGCTGCCTTCCAGACAGGAAGGGCTGACTGCAAGGAGTTGCTTCAATGGCCAAATTCTAATGAATCCAACTTGAAGCTTGCTAGAAAATGAAAATTCGTTTTCTAGACCCCTTGTTGCTTTGTGTTTCACACAAAATCAGGACAAAACCTATCAGTTTTCGGAGATGTAAATGGACTGTCAGAGGTACAGGCTGACAGACAGCCAGGACCCAGGTCACTGCCCATTTGAGTGCAGTTGCTCTGCTTTTACAGTTAATGAAAAGATTTAGGTATTTTTTCAGACAGGACCGGACCATCATACTATGAGCTATGTCTTTGTTGTACAGACCTCTGCACAGCCTCTTAGCTGAAGAAGCTCTTTGCTCCTCATATACTTTCTTCTATGACCTTCCTCCTTCCAAGAGGAGGATAGTGGTATTTTGAGGGGGGAGAAGAAACTGAGGCAGAAGAGTTCTGACTTGTTCAGAACTGCAGAAGAAATGACAATGACAGTGCTACTGGAAATAAAACACACCAATTTTTTTTTTTTTAGCCCCTGACATGGAGCATGAAGTCCCAGTAGTGAACCAATTTTGCACGTGGCCAGGGAATGGGAGAGGGAGCAGGAGGTGAGGGGCTGTGCATGTGGGCTGGCATGACAACCATGCCTCAATGAAAGCACCTGTCAACCCAGGGCTGATGCTGCATCTTTTTATTTTATTTTTATTTTGCTTCATAAAGCAAATGCAGAGCAAGTGATAGAAGGAGGAGAAAGGATGGCTTGAAAACAAAACAAAACAAAAAACACAAGAAAACTAAGAGGGAAGAAGCAGCTGCTGGAGTATAAGTAGAAAGTGAGCTGCTACAGGAAAGAAGTTCATAGATGCCAAGCCCGCACTAATTCTTAATAAAATACAATACTGAAAATAGGATCTGAGAGTCTCCAAAATACAATATCTTAAGGGATCGGCAATAATACAAAATAAGTTTCATTATGTACAAACGAGTTCTGCTCTTGATCTCTGTACAACGGTGGGAGTGGGAGGCATGGGAACATGCTCAGTGGAAGTGTTGGGGTAGAGGAGGGTGTGCTTGGACCCGGCAGTGGTTCTTTGTGCTGGGGTGGAGGTGGAGGATGGTGAATGCAGTGGTATCTGGTGACCAGTGGGTGCTGTGGGGAGAGCAGAGCAATGCTGAAAGCTTTCCTCTTCATCACCCCACTGGCACGATTGCAGCCAACTGTGTCCAAATTTTCTTTGGAGGGGCAAAACCAATTTTCAATAGGGAGAAAAGAAAGATGTGGGGGCTCTTCCCTCACCTCTCCCAGTCCTTGAACAAGAGCCATCCCATCCTTCCTCTACAGGGTGCCTTCTCCACTCCCAGGCTGGGGGAAGAGGAGAGGCTGGGGCAGTGCAGAGTGAGTCCAGAGTGCTTGATGAGAAACAAGCAGAAGAGGGGCCTGCTGTGAGATCTGGCAGAGTGCACAGGGATTCCCATGTTACACATGGGGCAACCTGCCACGTCCCAGATCTCTGACACTCGTGTCCCACATTGTCCTTCCATCAAATGGCAGCTGAGGGAATGGAGTGAGGAGACACTTCTGCCTTTTTGCAGGACTTTTGCTGGAGAGGAAGAAGGGTCAGAAATGGGTGTCTGGGTGCTAAAGAGGATGGCATAAGCTTGAGATGATGTCACTTCAACACCAAACTTGGCAATTCTGACCTGAGAGGTGGTATGGCAAGAGTTTGCTACCTTTGCTGTCAGCATTTAGAAAGAAGAGGTCTAAAACTGTCTTTGGTGGCCCTGGCCAATTCCAACAAACCACCTCTTTCCTGACAGATGTACCTGTCTCCAGAAATGCCAGTATGTCCTCAGTGGCTTTCACAACACTATTGTGCACACAGAGGATGTGAGGGGACTGATGGCTAATCTGACAGCTCTCCAATGGGTTGTAGACCTCTCCTTGGTGGTTCCTAGGAAGACCCCATTAGGCATTAAGCAGAATCAGGGATGGAGAGCTGGGATGGGGGTTGGGTTATGGGAATGTGTTTTTCTCACTCACTCTCAAAGGGGGAAGCCTGAAGAATGGAAAATGAGAAGACCACTGACCTGGTTAGCACTGCACTATAGGGCCCAAGCTGGGAACAGAAAGAAAAATACCACCCCTGCCAAAACAGGGGTGCTAAGGGTGGGGAGAAGTGGGTTGTGAGGGAAAGTTGTTCTCTTTTAGAGTTCTAGTTACCCAGAAGCTGCTGGCTAATTTTTATGGTGACTTATCTGTCTGGGATTTCTCTCCCCCACTCCGTTTGTGTGCAGATCTTTGCAGATAGTTGGTGTTGAAGTTACGTAGGCATGTCCATCAAGAGAAAACTAGAGCAAGGAAGAACTAGGTTTTCTCTCAATGGAAGTAGAAATATACTAACATAAGGAGGGCAAGGAATGAGCTCAAACTCTCCAGAGCCATCTCTCCAGCACCAGCATCACCCACTCCTAAAACCCTCAGGCAGGACAGTAAATCCAGCACTTTCTCTCTCCTTCAGGTGCATCTGATGTAGCCAAGAGGTACACATGTGGGGACAGCCCCCTTGGTCTGGAGGCTTTGGGGAGTGAGCTGAATAGTTTGTGGGCTTCCCCTGATCTCCCTCCTCTCCAAGGTGAGCCCACATCCATAGGGTAGTGCTCATTTAAGCAGGAGGTAAGGCCAGAGAAGAGGGAGTCTCAGGGATTCTCCATACACTTATTGCTGGTTCTGGCAGTCCTGTGACTCCCCTCAGAGAGATCAACACTAATGGGGACGATGGGGAAGGGAAGAAGCTGAACCCAAGACCAGTTTGGGAGTGTCTAAATGCAGTGTCCTCTCCTGCCAAGTCCCCTCAGTTGCTTAGTGAGGAGGGAATCCCGCAATCAGACAGATGAGGCCTTGAGGTCCAGCAGCTGCTACAAGAATTCAGTTGTCTCACTGGAGCTTGTCTCCCTGAGGAAAAGAAAAGACAAATATCAGTCAAGGTTCATCATAGCCTCCTATGCAAATTCACCTCTCTGTGTGCCCAGTTAGTTTGCTCTGACCAGGATGAACTCCTTCCCCAGGGCACTCAATGGAACACAAACCTGGACCACGTGAGTCATCCAGCCCTCCACATTTTTATGCAAGTGGGACACTGCTTTATGGACAAACTTTTGCTCTAGAAAATGAACTTGTTCTTATGCTCCCTGCCAGCACCGTCCTCCGCCAGCTGCTGCTCTTAACTGACTGCCTGTCCTGGGCAGCTCAGCTGTCCTTAGCTTGCAGCAGAGGGGATGGACATGCCTGCTGCTTACCCCCAGACACCATGCTGTGTTTTGGGCTCAGAAGGTGGCCCCACCTGCTTACCTCTCACGGAACTGCTCTTTGAGGTGGCTGAGAGTTGGGTCAGTTTGGTTCTGGTCAGGACCCCCCTGGGTTTTGCTCAAATATTTAGCCGTCTCATGTGTCCTGGCCAGATGAGGTCTTCCCTCCTCAGACTGCCTTTTTTTGGCCTCCCACCCCTCAGGATGGTCCATGGTTAGAAAGGAGCTATAGCTCTCTTCTAAGGAGCCAGCACCCTCATCATAGAAAAGAAGACTCCGTGACTGAACTGGAAAAAAGGAGAGCATTGGTTAAAAATGAGGACAAGGTATCTTGCAATGGGTGTGGGTCATGATGGTGGTTTCAGCACATTCTCATCCAGCCTTATCCATGTGTAACTGTGTAGGATACCCTCCTCCCCAGCTTTATGAAGCAAATGCCCCCCTGGACACTCAGCCTTTTCAGAAGACAAGCAGTCTGCCCTGGAAATTTTCCCTCATATTCCTTCCTTTGATACTTGTCATGTTTTGGGACAATGGTTAGCACAGAATGACAACAGGCCCAACAAGGAGCTGTTATGGAGTTTGTACCACCGACAGATTAGGAGCCTTTCCTTGCCACAGTCCCAGCATATGTGGTAGGCACAGAGGTGAGGATGCCATGCCAGACCAGGGAGTGTCAAGAGAAGAGCTGGAAATAGTTTGACAAGCTGAAATGGAGGAACTGCGTTAGACTCACTCTTACTAGTTGTGTAAATGTCTGGTGCTGGTGTTGCTTTCACTGTCTGTGATACTGAAGAGAATTCAGGGAGACAGGGCATCAGGGATCCCAGGATCAGAACGAAGCAGAGTGCCAGCACCTAGAAAGGAGATCAGAACAGAGTCAGTGCCACTGGCCACAAAGAAGCACTCCTCCCACAGCACAACATGAGGCTGTGTAAGATCTAGTCAGACTGACAACAGGGTACCTGTGGTCCCCAGGCAGGGAAGGGGCTTGCTGTGCTAATCTCTGTTGCAAATTCAAGAAGGGAAGTCAGAAACTTCCTCTTGTTGATTTATCTGAAGTATTTCTGGTTCAATTGTGAGAACTTGCCTATCCTATTGAGGAGAGACAGTGGAAGGCACAGCTGAGAAACAAGCTGAAAAAAAGTGGGGACTCAACAGAAGGGACAAACTCTGCCTTGACCGAAGGGAACCTGGCCATTGGCTTAGGAGCTGTTGCAGGCTGTAAAGAAAACAAGCCCACTGTGAGAAATCTGTGAGGTACTACACACAGAGAAAAGTGAAGCTACTATCCATGCAAGGACAGAAATGACAGCAGAACTGCAGCTCTATATCAGGTTCTAATACCTGATAGTAAAGATGAAGAATTCTAGGAAAGGGTTAAATTTATGCTTGACATGTAGATATGCAGTACCATGTGTCAGTGCCTTCTGCTATCAGGCAGACCAGCCAGAGCTACTAGGCAGTGATAACAGAAGAAAGGTATGTGAAATCTCCCCTGAAATCCCCCTCAGGTAGGTCCGGAGCTATCTGGAAATTCTGCCATAACAGTAAAGCTTCAGAGTGAACGTAAGGGACTCTATAGACCTTAGGGAACTGCCAGTACACAGCAAGAAGGCACACATGGGGAATGGTACAGAGCCAAATTATTGAACACTCATGCACCATGCATCGTCTGTAACTACCTGCTGCCAGCTCAGTGCTCAGACTGAACAGCCAAAGAAGCGATGCATCTTTTGGTGATTTCTACTACCTATGTATAAACTAGCAAATTTGACCTGGGTGGATGCCTGTGGGGACAGCCAGCAGATTGCTTTTCAGAAATCACCTATTTTGGAATACCTGTGCCTAAGTAATGCACGGAAGCTGGTACATCAAGGTAGTTTTGACCACCAGTGGATTCCAGGAGATGTGGAAGATGAAATAGTAACATGTGGATAGTATGTTATGTAAAGAAGGATTTTAATTGTCCAGACTCTTCATGGCTGGTTTTAAAGTAAGGACATTAAATGAAGGCAGCATAGATGCTGTTTGTCATATTGGGCACATGAAGAATTTAGAATCCTTATTTGACAAAAACAAGGCAAAAATAAATTCTGAATGGATGTTGCTTGGAATTATCGCAGCCAAACACACAACTTGGAGAAAAGGGAGACAGCCCTGTAAAGTCTGTTCTTTCCTTCTAAAACAAAACAGGCTTTTGGGGCTGAGAAAGAGCAGTATACTTAACATCTTGCTTTAACATGGATTTCAGCTGGGGTTTTGCAAAACAGCACTGTTTTTACTCTGTTTTGTTTCAGGTTAACTCTGATGCTCTGATTCACTTCTAATTGAAATTCTACAACACTTCATAACAGTAACTGTTGGCTTGATTCTAAGTAACATTTATGTCACAGCTTTTGACCATCTCATTATTTGACCTCTTAAAATTAAGGGAAATTAAGCTAGAGAAAACTACTGCAAAACAATTTGGAAAGGTGGAGGCAAAATTAATCAAAAAAAAAAGACATACTGAGAGTGTATTCATCAAAGGGTTCACTATCAAACTGTGAGGAAGTAGCAGATGGAGTAGCAGAGAGATCTGTTACAGATCTGGCAAGATTCATCATTTTTAAGCTTGATTTAGATGATGGACTGTATCAAATCTGCAGATGGGAGAGACTACAAGCAGACTGGCTTTTGGTCAGTATTCAAATTTGGAATGATCTTGACCATGGGAAGAAGTGGTCCAAGAGAACAGTGGGAAGATCTATACAGACAAATGTGGAGACCTGCTGAAAGCTCTGAGGTGGCAGGAGTGATTAACAGGGGAAATATATCAATGGCTACATATTTCAGCTGTTCTACAGAAGAGGCTCTGCGAGTTAAACTGGTCCATGAGATGGGTCCAGGTCAGTGTCACTTTGCAACAGGCAAATCTCAGCCCAGGCATTATGAATAGGCTTTCTGGCTGGATTTGTATTGGCCTTCAGGTCGAATGCTATGCCCAGCTTTGGGCCCTGTACTTCCAAAAAGATGCAGGGTCATTGGAGAAAGTCTGGAAGACAGCTCTGGGAACAAGCAGTGATTCAGTAACTCAGCCTTCGAGGGAAGGCTGAAGAAATCATGGTGATTTAGCAGACCAGACTGAAAGGAGTTGCTCAAAAACAGGAGTTTTCAAATATGTAAAATGCAGCTGCACAAAGGGAGAATAAACAGATCTTGCTTACAATGGGCAGAAGAAGTTCTAATAGGCTTAAGCTGCTGCAAGGAAGATTAAGATGAGATAGCAAGAAAGCTTTATCTGGGAAAGATAACATAACACTAGAATGGTTTGCCTGAGGAGGCTGAGGACTGCTCACCACTGGAGGCCTTCAAGAAGTGGCAATACAAATATCCAGCGGCAATGACACAGGGCTAAAGAAGAAGGGTAGCCTGCTCCACTCCCATGCTGCAAGACACAATGATTCTACATATCTGTCATGATAAGGAATGCCGTAGTTTAAAATGGAAAATGAGAACTCAGAGGCTTATGAAAGGAACTGGTCAAAGATAGAAAAGCAAATTACAAATTCTTGAAATACTTCAAAGCTAGGAAGTCTGAGAGAGTGGGTGTGTGGGCTGGGATGCCTGCAACAAAGGGAGCAGCAAGGAGACATAAGGCATTGTTGGGAAGCTAAATTAGATATTATATCAGCCTGTAGCACAGGGGAAAGCACCTCTTCTAAACTTGTTTATTCCAGGTAGTAGCACTGAAGAATTGTTGGAGCCAGGAATGCTCTGATGAGCTGCTGCATGAAGAAGCAATGAGTCACTGGGCTCAGCTGGGTCACACCCAAAAATGTGGAAAGAACTTGGGAATGAAGACTGAGAGCAGGGGAAAAAGAGACAGACATTAAAATCTGGTCTGACATGGGGGCAGCAAAGAGTAGCAAAAGGCTGAGCAGATTTTGAAAAGAGGAAGTGCTTGACATGACAGAGCAGGGGCTCTGGATCCAAGGAAACTCATTGAACCAGGACCAAAAAACAATCCCTCAGGACACTGATGGTGCTGAGAAAGTGGGGCAAGTACCTCACCATCTGTTTGCATTTTGTGACTGCTAACAGTACAGAAGTGATAACCAAATATAGATAACTAACTCTGACAAATTTGTCACGAGCAGCTACTATGACAATCCTGCAAAGACATCACAGGGGTGAATATTATATTTTTACTATGGCTCAGAAACTTTCCCCCAGAAAAAAAAAATGAGATGAAGAATAAGCAATTGGCTCTTTATGGCTACACACTGGCATGCCCTAAAACTCCTCAATGAAGCCAATTTTTATTAACCATGATCCTCCACTATGAGGCAAACAGGGATTACCAAAACAACAGACAACCCCAAATTATTATGCTTAGTCAAAAGGACAAAGAGAATTCCAGCTGGATTTAACAAAGCCTGTGTGCAGGCATAGCAAGAACAGATGCCATTTCTTGCTGATAAACAAAAGGTAATGCCCACTGGGATGAATACTTGGAGTGTTCATCTGCCCTGCTGAGTTAAACATTAAGCATTACCAGCTCAGCAAAAGAAAACTCTGCCCATTACGATGGAAGCTCATTGAAGATTTTTGCTGAATGGCTAATAGCTAATGAAAAGCAAACAAAGTGCTTTTTTGCCCAAAGAAGAAGGCAGTGAAAATGCAGGAATTATTCTAATGTTGTTGCATAAACAACTGATGTATGTATGACACAGGGCCCAGCTCTGGTGGCTATAACACAAAAGGAAAGAGCAGATGTAACTGACAACAGAGCTGGGCAGCAGGGAAGAGGGCAGAGACAGGCAATCAACAAAGCTGTCTGGAGAAGCATGGCCAATAAGGAAGACGGAAATGAAGCTTATACCATTAGACAGGTCCCAGTCTGCGTGGAAGCCATTTTATAAGGTCTGGAGACTTTCCCAGCTACCAGAGCCTGAAGCTTCTGTAACTGCTGGAGCAGAGTCCTGTGATAGGAAACAATGCATATCAAAACTTAATAAGGTGGTAGAAGCCAGTAAGTGAGCCAAGAATACCACTACCCAGTTCATATTGTACCTTAATTTTCCCTTCTTGTGAAAACAAGTATCTCCCCTTTAACTGTATATTGCTTAAGTTCTCTGACCAAACAGGCTTGGGAAACAAGAAAAAAAAAGGGTCTTATCAGTGGGTCCACCACCATCTTCACTGCACCTACCCACTATTATGAATGACCCATTCATTTAGGACTCCTGGGTGCCTGAAAGCCCAGCCAGTCAATTCCCAGAGCAGTGGCAAGCCAGAGTACCATGAAAACCAAGCCCTGGCATGGAGGCTGAACTTTGTAGACAGATCAAGCCTTCAGCACAGGCTTGCCTGCTCCCACTTCACTCAGAGACACATACTCTGAAGCTCGACCTGTGCCCAAACTGTGGTGGAGAGAGAAATAAGAAACAGTTGTGATCCCCTTGAGCTTCTTCAGTCTTGGCAAATTCTGCAGAGGGATGTAGGCAAAGCCAAATCTTGAGTTCAGCAATTAATTAATTCTCTGACTGCCCTGGTTGGAACACATGCTAAGGTCTCTCTGCCCCATTTAACTGTTCATGGGCATCTGCACACATAACACAAAACAGTGGTAGGTGTTAACAAGAGCTACTGAACCCTTCACTGAGCTGGTGAAGGAATCTGGGATGAGGGAGACTACAGAGCACACAGTTCCCAAGAGTTGCATATTATTGAAGTGGAGAGTATTGCTGACTTTCCCTCTGGGAGCACTGACTGTTCTACACAAGTATGTTTGAGCTTTTATAAAATGCCAGGTCCTGGAACCAGGAGATTGCAGGAGAATCCCAGCTTTATCCCTTTCCAAATCCTGTTTTGCTCTCTGTACATGTGGAGAGAAGCACAGAGTGTCCCACTGGCAGTGCTCAAAAACCAAACCAAATTAGAAATAATACAATATGTATTTTAGGAAAGAAAAATAAAAATTTTTTGGCTTTTAGGCCAATGTCCTGATTTTTCTGGGTGGAGCTCACACTTTTTCAGCAGCAGGGCCGCCCACATTCCCAGAAAGGCTGGGGGGCAAGATGTGCCCCATGCATGAGAGCAGCTGGGCAGCTGTATCTCTGGCAGACAGGAGACCTCTGGCTCTCACACACCTCAGCCAGACCATGCCTGGCAACCCCCTGTCCCAGCACCAGTTCAGGCCTGGAAGCCAAGGCCACTGCACTCGTGTCATGGATGGGAGGAAGGTGTGCAGTGGAGCCTCTAGGAGTACTCCATGAGCTGTCATGGCAGCAGAGGAGTGGGTGAGGAACTGGCTCTCTGGCTGTGGCTCTCCCTTCAATTCGAGCTTATATAAATGGAGCTATAGAGACAAGTATCCCCTGCAGTTCACCCTGCCCTTGCTCACACCTGTTGTGCCAATAAGAGGGGGCAGAGCTAGGCTCTCCTGTAGCTCCAGCTGCCTACCCCACTGCAGGGTGGAAGTCTTCATTATTTGCTTCCAAGGAACCAAATTCCCCTGGTGATTGGTTGGCCAGCTCTGAATATTAGAAACACAAGTGCTCACCAGAATTAGAATTAGGAAACCCAGAGCCTTGGGTGAGAGAACTTTGGGGCTGTGAGAGCAAGCTTGCTCCTTTCAGGTGAGCAGTAGCAGCAGATGAGACAGAGATTCTTTGGGCTTGCTTTGCCCAAAAGAGACTGAGAAAGGGCTAGAACACCACATACACAAGGAATTGCCCTGGATTTAGTGGAAGTTGGGATCTCTACTTTTATTAGAAGAACGGGCTTTCCCTGTATTCACCAAGTCTGTTCAGCTTTCTCAAGAGAAACCTGAAACAGCCACAATATGCCCAGGGCCTTGTATTTCTCTGAAGAGCCAAAAAGCAGAACCAGTGAGAGGCTGGTGTGAGGAGCCTCCCTTAATGCATCTGCCCTGGAGACAGACAGAGCCCTGGAGGGGAATGGAGAAGGCAGCATGAGCCCAAAGGATTGCAGGGAGAAGGACAAAGAGATATGGGAAACATGCCTTCCCTCCCTCTCCTCGCTGCGGAGTGTCCTGGCGTCCCAACACAAACATTCCAGGCTTGCTAACCAAACCCAGCTGCCTTGTTGCTGTCACAGGCTGAAACCCAGCACCTCGCCAAGCAACACCCGTCCAGGAGCTGGGGGAGCCTGCTTTTCTCTTCTTGTCCCTCTGCTTCAGTGCTCCTGACTTCCCATCCTACCCACCCTGCCCTACCCACAGAGGGTCAAGTCTAGCTCCTCTTACCTGTTTGCATTTTCTAAGGTCTCCACTTTTTTCCAGAGTTCATTATTTTCTGTTGTGTATGTCTCTACCCTATGGGAATAAAACCCATAGCCAGTTAGTCACAAAGGCCAGAGAGAATAAGACAATGCAGTCCCTGTTTTTCATGAGGTATGGAGGCTCAGTGGCTTCGTCCGTCACCTGCAGATATGGTCCTGAAATCAAATGTTACTTGGCCCATCTGATTGCAGCCAGTCCCAATGGGGTAGGGATGAGACTGCAGGTGGACAGCTACATGGGACATTTCCCAGTTCAGGGTCTTCTGAGGCTTGGGAGAGACAGGAGCACCTGGTTACAGGCAGGTCAAGTCAGGACAGACCCAAAGTTGTGCAGACATTTCCATCACTTCCAAACCCCCCTAAGAATGAAAAAGGAAGAGGGGGACAAAGTCAAACCCCTCCCTGAGAACCTGCCCTGGGCTCTGCACCCTAGCTGTGAAATCCAGGCCGCTCTGGGCAAACGCTGGGCCAGCTCCGACTGCAGGCACTTGAGGGCAGCAGAGAACCTGCAGGCTCCTTCCCGCGGCTTCCGACGGGAAAGTGGCTGGGCTGCAGCTGGGACAAGGGAAGGGGAGTGCCTCCAGGTTGGGAGAAAGGCAAGCCAGAGGCACAGCCTAATCCTGCTGGCGGTTTGCAGCACAGCTTTTGGACCAGACGTTCCGTGCAGAAACTGGGCTTCCAGCAAAAGTGTCTAACTGAATGGGGAAGGACCCAAGTACAGGTTTTGACAGACCAGTTTTTAGTAAGCCAAGCTGACCAAAGACATATTCTATTAAAAAAAAAAAAAATCACTGAATGCTGCTTTTGGTTCACATTTAAACCTGGCATTGTTTGAAAGCCATCTGTCATAGCAATGCTCTACTGTAACAAACTGCTGAGTACATACAGGCACCACAGCCACATCTGGGGAGGAGGAGGCCCCAGCACCAAACGCCCTGGACCTGCCCCTTGAGCGAGGTCAGCCAACTCCCCAGCCCTGGCTTCAAGGTCCCCATATGGGACACTAGCTGGAGGTGATGTGCTCTGATGCCTGGACATACCCATGCACACTGAGGTGCCTTGAATCATCTGCTTTAATTGAGCATTTCTGTGCAACTAGAGAAGATAAATAGCATCAGGGAAAAGAGTTAATTAAAGTTGGGTTTGGGGGTTGTTTTTTTTCCATTTGCTGATCTCAGATGGTGTTAGTAACTGGGAAGAAGATGGTAATTATACAGAAACATGAATTTGTGCCTGGATTCCAACATTCTTCTTTGCCTGGGGATGCACATTAGGGGTTGCTAGTACAGGAGTTATTTTCTACCCAGTCAGTGTCACATGACATCACCTTAGGCTTATGCCTACCATGCATAGGAGAAAAGCAAGGCTGCAAGGAGAAAAACAAAGCTAATGCAGAGAGTGGAAGTGGGGGAGAGTGGGGAATAACTGCAAGGCAAGGTTTTTCTCACTGTCAAGTGTTTGTGTGTCCACCTTCATGGGAAGAGAGGGGGAAAAAGCCATGATCAGTGCCCTCAGACAGCTTGCCACCTATGGGACAGACAAAATAGAAGCAACTTCTAGTGGGTAAACCCAAAATCCCACCTTGTTGGCAGCCAAAACAGCCTGTGTTTTTCAGGGGACCAGCCAAATTAAGTAGTTGGAAACACAAAATTTCCTGACCAATTTTTATCCCACAAGAGGATTTCTAGGAGGGAGGAGAGTAGGGGCAGAATCCCAAACCAAACTCCTGGGCAGCCAGCCTTGCAAGGAATTGTATTTTTTTTAGCAATTCAAAGACAAAACACTAGAAAGGGGGCCTGTGCATGGACAGGATTCCTGTTTTCAAAGTAAGACTTACTTTTTCTCTAGACATTCCACATACTCTTTCTTCTTCCTGCGGCTCTCCTGAGCAGAGATCTGTGAGGAGGGCAGAGGGGAGTCAGTATCATAAGCCTCTGGACATTTCTTTGTGGCTCATGCATCTTGTCTGTTTCCTTGCACTAAAGGCAAGTGAGGAGCTGCCTTCCAGTCTGCCATCCCTGATGATCTATAGGCCAAAACTGGGGGGGTGGGTGGATGCTGTAGGTATGCAGCCTTCCTTGGCTTGGAGCCTGCAACCATTTGTTGCCTTATGCTCCTCGATGCTGAGAGCATCTTTAGGGTTTCGTTCCACTCCTCTGACTCACATGGGTATATGTTGTGGCCATTTGGGCTGATTCTACCCCAGACCACTTCTGAGTCACTGGGTGATTAGTTCAGTCTCACCATTTTTCCCATAGGATGCTTTCTAATCCCAGTCTAAAGTCTCACAGCCTCTGCCTGGCTAGTGAACACTCTGCATCACCCGTCCTGCACCATGCAATGGCTTTGGTTTCCTTGTTCTTGCAACAAGGCCTGACCAGACCAGTTTGTCTGATCTGTGGACCCTTCCCACTCCACACACTCCCAGGAGCTGAGCAGGAAGCCACAGTTCCCAGGTATGGCTGTATGCAGAGCATGCAAGCAGAGATGCCCCTTGGCACCATTTTTGTGGGTTGGGAGGCTTGTGCTAATGTACCAAAGACACAATCCCACCTTTTTTGAGCTGCAGCGCAGCTGAGGAGGTGAGGGTAACTATAGCATTGGTCAGCTGAGGATGCTCTGGAATCATGGGAACTGCATGATTACATATTTTGCAGTCACCTTGTTCTTGATTTTCCTCCTGACCCTCTTCAGTGCTTTCTCCTCTGCTTTGGTGAGGGGCAGCTTGGTAGGAATGGGGTAACCCTCTGCAATCAAGGTGCGCTTCTCCTCTTCAGTCAAGAGCAGTGGGCCAGAGGTTCCTTGTAACTTCTGAAAAACACAGAGAGCATCTATCAGTGTCACCGAGGCGTTCTACTCCAGTGATCTTCCTTAAAGCCTTGCAGAGCAGCCAGAGGCTGCATCAGAATAGAATACACTGCTGCCCATTGACACCAAACAGGTGCAGGGCAGTGCTCTTTCCTACTCTCAACTTGATCCTGGGGGCACAGCTCAGCAACTCCTTTCCTCTTTTCCTTGGGAGGGCATCTGTTCCTTCACTGTGAGGCTGGCTACACACCTGCACTGCAGGACCCTGCCAAAAAACTTCTGGGCAACAGTTAAAAAGGTCTGGTTATGGGAATTCCTCTCTCATTAGCCTTCTCAGAAAGTCCTCGTAGTGCATAGGTCACTTCCCAAAGTATGGATGAAAGACAGCACCTGCTAAAACAAGATAGCTGCTGGTAGATGTGCAAGATTCACTGTGCCTCTTCTCACTCCTGTGAGCACTTCTTGTCCCCACATCCTTGTGCTAAGACATCACATTGCCTTGACAGAGTATTTAATCTTGGAGATCTTAGCAAGGGCAGGAACCTCCACCTACGCCTTGGAATTCCTACAAACCCCTCTAAGCAGCAAGGAGCCCTGTGTCCCAGCCCTGTTGGCTCCTTACATGTGGTGCTGTGAGGAGAGGTGAGGAGGAGATGGCAGTAGAAGAGCGAGCAGCAGGCCGGGCTGGACTGGAGGGAGGCAGGGACCGAGGACTCTGAGATCCGTCACTGTCACTGCCATGGCTGCTGGGTGGAGTTGGAGGCATCTGCACCAGGTCATCTACTGAGGAATAAGGAGATCAGGTCAATGTCTCTCATGTCAGCCTGTTGGTATAGGCATAGGGCCCTGCCATAACACAGGGCTGAAAGGAGAGGGTGATGAGTTTCACAAGATGGGGTGAGTCTGAGAAAAAGGCTTGACTGAGTGCTGCCCAAGACAGAGGTTAGACTGACCTCAAATGTACTAAACTAGGAACTGCAGAGCAGCTGGCAGGGCTTTGCCAAGGAATAGAAGGTATTTACAAAGCAGTAAGGTACTCCAGTGTCAACCAACATGAAGTAAAAAGCCCATGATGTTTTGCTCCATAGCCTGTTTGCAAGTACAGGAAGCTCTGTGAGAGAAAAGCTCTTCCAAAAGCACTGCAGGGCTCACACACTTGCCAGCACACTTGATCCAGCGGGGCTCTGGTCACTCAGTTGGTTTCCAAGCACTTGAAAACTGTCCCCACTTTGTACTGGAGAGCCCTAGGGGCCTTAATGGAGGTGGGAATATGCCTAAGGAATGTCTCTCTGCGGCAGTGGGAGTTCCCTTAGTGCTTTCATTTGTGCATCGGCAGATTTTCAGATGCTTGGGTTTCTTTCAAATTAAACTGGATCCTGAATTTCCTGACTTTCAGATGGTTATTTTTGGATAGCTCTACAGTCTCTCTGAGGATTTTAAAGGCACTCTTGCATATTTCCAACTCTGAAGGAGCCTGTTTTGCCTGGGAGTCCCTGTCTGAACAATTTTGTGTGTGGCTCCTGATGCAGACACTGATCTGAGTTAGAACAGTGCAGTGCCCACTTCTCTATTGTTCTCTGCCCCAGTGCTACCTTATATGCACAGCTCTGCCTTTAGGTGTTGTCTTTCTGCCCTGTATAATAACAATCTATAGCTGAGTAATATAGTTGACCAGGAAATTCTATCTTCTTACCTGTAGGTACATTTAGAAACTGGTTCACCTCTTTGGGTTCAGCTTTGATCACAGGTGCTGGAGTAATTTCTACAGGAATCTGTGGAAGAAAAGCAGAAAGAGCTCTTGGCCACTGCCGCCTCCCCTGCCCAGAAGGCTCCCACCAGTTCTGTCCATAGCCACTGCTCCCCTGCTGCCTATCCAGCCCCATCTCACAGCTCTGCCCCAAAGGAGCCTCTCACCATGGAGGAAACCAAGAGTTCAAACATAAGCCCCTGAAGTCTCAGTTGCTGGGCACACAGAGTGCAAACACATTTACAGAGGAAGTGGCACTGGCAGATGGATGTGCTGCCAAGCAATGCACTGAGCTGAGTACCTCCAAAAGGGAGATGACTTTTATCCTTGGCAATTCTTCCTCTGATACACCCAGACAGTGTAATTTAAACCAACCCCTGTGTTACCACAGGAAGTCCCTCTTTGATCTGCCTTCATTATAAATGGGAGTATAAAGGTTGTACAGAAACAGAACAACCCTGTTGTCCTGTTCATGTGATTTTCACCAGGACCACTGGGCCACTGTTTCCAGTCGGAGGGGACCGAGAGCTGAATAAAGAGTAGATTTACTCCCATCTGCATTAGGCTGCCCCTCGGCCTCCTGGCTTGCCAGCCCCCAGCCCACCATAGGGTGGAGTTTTCACACTAAACAGACACATTGCAAACTCCTCCAGACTGTAAACACAGCTGAGAGCACCATGGTATGGCTGATGAGCATACACAGCAGAGACTGGAGGGCACAGCAAGTTCAAGCTGTGTAAATAATAGAGGAAGTTTGTGCACAGTTTTGGCTGGAAGAACCCATTTGTTTTGGATGCCTGTTTAAATGGGAAGATGTTCAACATGAGTGAAAAAAGGAAGTGAACCCCAGAGATGCTCTACTGTTATCTGCTGAGCTGCTACAAGATAGGCAAGGTCTGTGTGAGACTGGTCAGACCTTCTCATCCAACACAGCTGGTCTCAAGGCCAGCTGAACTAAGCCCTCAACTCACACCCACATACCAGTGGCATAAGTGAACCTCCTTCAGACAAAGAGACTTCTTAAGAACTTAGATGTGACCAAAAGAGTTGTCCCCTTGTTACACAGAAATAATAAATCCTGCTGCTTCATAGGAAAAAGTAAGCAGGACGTGGAGTGGGACCAACATTTCCAGTGAGCAGCTACAAAGAGTGAGAGGCCATGTGACAAGTCCAAAGCCATGAAAAAGACAGTGGCAGAGCTGGGGTCTATATGCAGGAATAGTGGAGTCACTGGCATCAAAATAATTGACACTGTTCTCTGAAAAATTAAAATAAGCCAAGAGTGGCTACAGAAATACTGGCATATTGGAGGGGACAGATCTCCAGTAGGTGCAAGCTTAAAGCTTTTGGCTTTTGTGCCAAGGAAACATGCTTATATTTAACTGAGATTGTAAAGCCTCCTGTGCTGCCATTTCAAGAGGAGAATGACAAATAATGCAGCATTTGGGCTTTGTAACACCTTCTTCTGTCTGTTCAGTAGCTAAATCACCTTCCAGGACCCTGAAGTTACATGGCTGGGTCTGCATCACCAGGGGTGCTGCTGTGTGAGAGCCCAGACTCCCGACAGATCTTAGATGGGCTCACCTCCTCAGGGAGTGGCAGTCTCTGCAGAGGGTTGAGGTTCAGCACTGGTATGGAGCTGGCAGGTAGCTGGGACTCAGGCAGGTCTAGAGGCAGGTTCTGTTCCTGTTTCACCATGATGGAGCAGAGCTTGGGTCCCAGTGACCACACTCCATTCTCCAGCTCTGAAACATGCACAACATGAGTCAAACTCCAGCAAGAACAAGGCAAGGGAAAAAAAAAGCCATGCAGACAGCTTCCTCTGACTGAGGAGGCTGCCTTTCCAAGTTTAGCACTGTCACCACACAAGCATGTGCAGGCCCACAACACAGAGTACAAAAGGGAATGAACCCCCAGTGCGTGGAGAACAGACAGGACAGAGATAGAGGAATTGTGTCTCTGCTGTGCTCTGAGTGTACAGCCCAAGCTCTGGAGGACAGCTGCAGGGTTTTTCCTCCAGCAATGTCTAGGTCTCATCCTCTGGAGCTTATTTATATTTAGGGCTCAGTGAGAGGAGGATGCTGGGTTGCTACTCCTTAGGCAGCATGGCCAGCATCACAGAGCTGCTAGGTGTGTTATCAAGAATAGCTCCACCTCTGTGCTAGAGAGCTGGTGAGAGAGCAAGCGTGATAACAGTGAAAGGCTGACAGTGCTACTTTGGCCTTCTGATGATGTTGTGCCAAGTACCAGGGCTTTGCTGCATGACAGAATAGGAGGAAGGCCCGTTTCTGTGGAAGGAAGCCCACTGCAGCACCTGCTTGTGAGGCTGCTTCCACAGCTGCTCCACTCAGTCTCACCTCTGAGACTCTCTTCTCTACCCTGGGCTGCTCAGGGGACTGCTGTCCACAGCTGTACCCTGCTGCCATTGCTGGCAGAGACAAGAAGCAGCAGTGAGGGAAAGGGAGTGTCTGAAGAGAATTGAATGGAGTCGTGGGGGCATGCTCCCCTTGCCTCCTGCCTGCTCTGTCCAGTGTGCATCTGTGGTGTGAGCCTGGCTTGCCACTGGAAGTAGAGATCCCAGATAAACTGCAGATCAGATGGGAAAAAGACCGCTAGGAGAGCTGCCTGGGCTCTGCTCTAAAGTTTCGTTCTTTGCTCTTCAAATACTTCAGCCTGCCAAAAGGCTACTCCTAGCTGGCCTGCAGCCTGCACCCTCCTTCCTAATCCTCATCTCTTCCCTTTCCCTTTTCATCTGACAAGCAAAAATACATTTGGCTTGACACAGGACAGATTATTGCTAAGCGTGTCACCAGAGAGAGCTCCAGTTGCCTCCACAAGGCCACAGTCTGACTCACTCACTAACTTCTCTGCATGCAGCACATTCAGTCAGGCCCAGGGACGTTGCCTAGCTGTCTGCTGCCAGAGCACTTCTGCAGTGCAGGCCTCAGTCCAGAAGATGTGCTGGCAAGAGGAGAGAGGGAGAAAGGTCTTCCTCTGCTCCAGAAAAACCTGCATGAAGAAGAGTACAAACAAGCAGCTATTCATATAGGAGCTGCCATTTGATCTAACTTAAAGACATGTTAATATTGTTTTTGCCCTATTCAGCCTCTGTTATCTTCAGGAGAGGCCAGGGCAGAATCCTGCCTCTGGCCTTTGCTTGGACAGAGTGGTGTTAAAGCCCAGATAAGAACTATATATGGTAACACCGTGTAGGCCTTGCCAATGGGATATGCTGTTTTCCTGTCTTTGGTCTAGCACCTCTTATTTCTGCCTAGACATGTCTCTCTAGCAGATGTTCATTCCTTCCAGCTTCCTCTGTGACTGGATACCTTCAAGCACAGACGCAGCTCCTGTGCTGCATGTGTCTCTGCTGCCTGTGCTGCTCTCAGTGCTGTTGGATTGCCTTCTAGAGCTTCCCACAATGCAGCAGGGCTAATGTCATCAGGCAGCATCTCAGGCAGGGGTGCACTGTACAGCTGAGACAATGCAGAGCCTACTGAGCAGACACAGAGTGGATTGTGTTTTCTCTGTCCAGCTAAGGACACCAAACCCACAACTGGCAGTGATGTCCTAGTTACCCTGGTATGCAGACAAACCCCTTCTGATGGAAGGAGGCAAGGTGTCACATAGACACAAGTGTTTGTGTCCAGAAAATTTGGACTGACTTCTGCCTTTCAAAGAAATAAGGGACCTTGAGAGATCTTCAAGTCTATCCCACTGCTCTAGGCAAATTCAACTAAACCTGTGTCAGTCCTGATAGATGATTCACTTGAACCTACCCCTTTGAAAAGTGCTAAAGAGTTCACAGCTTCCCCATTTAAACTCTTCTATGGTTTTGTTATGCCCACCATGGGAACATTTGGCTACTCTGAAGTTCCTTACTGTCATTTGAAGCCTTTTCCTCCTCATCCTTTCTGTTGCAAAGATCTGCATTTCTCTTTTCTCAGATGTGTGAGGTATCCTCTGTCTATGAGGGCTGCTGCTGAAGCAAGTTACCAGACAAGGGGGAGCAGATCACCAAGGGCTCTCCCCATCAGACTTGACTCAGTGAGAGAGCAGCCCTCAGTGCTGTGAGTCCAGACAGGCCATGTAGCAGACACCCAAATAAGTATGTGCCGTCCTCCCATTTCCTGTCTACATTCTGACCCTGCTCTTTTTCCCACCCTTGGAGATTCATCTGGGGAGTGATTGGGTTACAGAATCGGAGACAAATAAGCCATCAGAGGGTCAATGAGGGACTGAGGAGTAGGCATCTAGTGTGGACACGTCTAGGTTGTTCTGCTGCCTGAGAGGATTTTTCAGAGGATTTTTTTCCGTTTTAGAGGTAACACTGTAACACTGCAGATTTCACTGTATGTTGGTGGATGAGGCATGCCAAGACGCTCATCTTTGCTCTAGATACTCTGTACCCAATATCTAGATACTCTGTACCTATTGGGAAGAAATGTGGCTGACAGATATCTGTAGCTGCCCAGGATTGAGGAGGTCAGGCAAAGAACAGTGAGAAAGCAGGACCCATACAGAAAGGCAGGCACTAACCCGAGGCTGATCCAATGCCCGCTGTTCTGCACAACCCTGGCTCCCCCTGCTCCTGGCATCAAATCACACCCTGCAAAACTCAGGGCTGGTACTGAGAAATGAAACAGCCAGTCCGTATGCACAAGCCATCTGGAAAGCAGACTCCACTGATAAGCAGGGTCACAATGCACCCAGTGGCTTGCCCTAGCTGACCTGTGTTAGTGGGAACCATGTGGGAAGGGACAGGATTTGGAAGAGTTTTGGAGATCTGTAGAAAAGCTGGGAGAAAGCTGATAAAAAGCAAGCCTCAGCCAGCTCCAAGCCTAGACAGAGCAGGGGCATTCCTGAGGAGCTCTGCAGACTGAGCAGAGCTTGCTTAATGTTAAAGAAAAAACATTTCTGGGTAATTAATTGGAACTGAATGTCTAAAAGGACTGAGACTGGATGGAGCTGTGCCAAAAGGACTGCACAGTGTTGCAAATACTGGACCTGACTCAGGGTTTCACTAGAATATGACTCACATGCAATTATGAGCCAAAAAAGCCCTGGAAAGATGACCTGAATTATCTAGCTGCAGGACTGGGTGCATGGATACTTCTATACCTGCCATCATAATGCTAGGCCTTAGCCCCTTATTAAACTGATCTGCACTCTCAGAGGGCAAATGCCAGGCCCAGCTCTCCTGGGTTGTGCACTGTACACCCTGTGCTGGCCTCTGCCCAAGGATCAGTGTCATACTCCATTCAAGAGAGTCTTGCCTTTGAGACATGACAGCTGAAGGAAGGGCATGTGCAGACACAGTGGAGAGAAGAAGTGGTGCTAAGTGTCTCAGAGAGCAGTCCTTGAGATGGCTTCATGTAGGCAGTCTTCATTTCACTTTCTACAAATGCACTCTTTTGGCTTCTCTCATTCTCAAGTCTTATCTCCTCGTTTTTTCTCCTGTTTTCAGGGGCAAAACAAAGTTGTGTTTATTTGTTCATGCCAGTTTGGGTTTGTTTTTTTTTTTTTTTTTTTTT